TCTCACGCTTGAGGTATTCGGCTAATCACAACGCACTGGATAGCTGGCTAATCAGAGCACACCTCGCTTTTCAGACCGATTAGTTTTGTAAAAATCGACGCGTTTCAGAAAGGCGGGAGAGAGAGGAGAAACAATAATGTACAGTATGTGGAAAATAATGTGTTTTTTTAACTTTAAACCGCATAAACACATTTCATTACACCAAATACACAAAATAATGTTCTTTTTAGCAGCATCATATGACCCCTTTAAAGAAACAGAAAAAGAATGTTATCTCATTCATCTTTTCTTACTTATAATTATTTATTATTACTTATATAATAATAATTCATTGTATAATGAAAACATAAAATAGCGAAACTCACATTAAAATATTTTACATGTAATTACGCAATTATGTACACATTGTAAGTAAAATATAAAATAACATTATTTTATTTTATTTATTTTGTGAAATTATGAAATTATTGGATATACTCTACTATTCAGGAAGTTCCACGTTTTTCTTGCGGAATGTATGTTTTATTCAAGTTTATTCTGATTAGTTAAATTAATGCAACTACACATTCCTTTATAAATGAAATTTCTTCAAAAACGCAAAATATAGGCTTCTTTTAAAGAGCCTATATGTAGTGAGCATCATTTTTAGCATATTTTGTCAGATTTAGTAGTCCCTGATGTGACAAACCTCCACTTTAGTGATTTTTGTGATTGATATTAAATATGGGAAAAAAAGATGATTGAAAGTATGAATTTTAAGAGGAACCTTTCTTTTACCATGTTTACAGCGGTGATTAAAACAGAAATGCATGCATGTTTTAATATAAAAACCACCACCATGTCAATCGCCTGTTTTTACCACACGGCGGCGTTAGTTTTCGGTCTCTATCTTGCATTCATCATTGAAAAAGCAGGAAAATTCTGTCCCGTTTTGGGCCGGAGGAAAAAGCCCGTTGCCATGACAACACGAACATTCTGTTCCAGCCGCTGGGAAAGTGATGCTCGCTGCTGAACGATTTGGAGAACAGCTGAACAGACACCAATAAAACTGTTGCTCCTTATGCATATAAATAGCATTTCTTTAGAGGAGGTGTAAGCAAACCTTTTGTTGAGTAATTAACTAATGGAGGAACTAATAGAATAATGAAGCTTACACAAGCGTGGGGATGAAAAATATATGCTATTACTAGACACAGTTTTATTTGCTTATTTTGTAACAATGTATTAAAACCACTATAATACATATGAAGGTCTTTTTGGCATGCAAGAATCTGGTCAGATAACAATTAAGACAGATGTCTCTGACACTGGTCACACAAACAGACATAAAGAGGCTCAATTCAAATAAATAAATCTATTTCTTAAGCTTATAGTGATCGGGTTTTGAATGTTTGTAATATCTGGATGTTGTGCATTAATTCAAATGAGCCTGTGTAGAGTGAAACTGTGCTCTTGAAATTAGTTTTCTGACAAGTATGTCATGATAACTAAAAATAGTGAATCAAACATTTCTAAACTTAGAAACCACTCAGTTATGTATTAAAATTAAATGTTTAAAACTATAGAGGCTAAAGTTAACCCAGCAACAAAATTTGGTTCCGTTTTAGCCCCATCTTGCACAGTGGTTTATATATGTTTTAAAGGCATGCACTGTGATTTTAGAATGGAAACAGGCAAACTGTTTGACAAGGACAAGTAATAGAGTAAAAACAAATGGATTTAGGTAGCTGAGCTTGACTTATATAACAAATTATCTGGAAGTCAATGAATTTACACCGTTACGGTACTGCAAACAAAAGAAAACCCGTTAAACATCATTTTTTTCACACACAGAGACACATTTATACGGGACAACAAGGACAACACTTAATGTAATATTGCCATAATCAAGCATGATACTCTCCTTCAAATGTGCATGTAAAAAACAAATATTGTTTGGTCTTGCATGGTTGAAAGTGCAGAGACTCTTGGCTACAGTATTAAGTGTATACTTTTTTGTTTGTGTGTGTGTGCATGATTTTTTTTTCTCCAAAAAGTCCAGTTTTTATACCATGCACTGGCTCAGCAAGGCTTTTCTTGCAGTAGTCTAATAGTCTGTCTACTTTGACCAGCAGGAAGCAGTGCAGCATCTCACTTTCTTCTGTTGGAGACACCATATGAACGCTGCCCTCTCAGCGGGACACCATTCGCACAAACTCTAAAAGGCACAGACCAAAAAAATACACAGACTTTAACTGAAAACTACTGCACATTTATGTCTGCTTTTGCTTTTTTTATTATTACGTAGTGATTCTGACATTTTTACCTTCAAAGTCTACTCGGCCATCTCCATTCAAGTCAATGTCTCTCAGTATGTCCTCTAGGTCTCGATGACCAACCTAACAAACACAGGAATATGCTGTTAAAATCAGATGACAGGAACCGTTCACCCAAAAATGAAAATTCTTTCATTTTGAACCCCAAAATATGTTATTGTATATGAAAGAATCCTTCTGTTGGGCATGTTCCTTTCAGGGTGATTTGGTTCAGAAATTCTAAGGAATGATTCTGGTCTTTTCCTCAAACAAATTTTTCATAACACTTTGTAACACAATTCATATGGACCCCTTTAATGCTGCTTTTATTTTTGGTTTCCAAACATGGTCACTAGATCTCATTATAAAATAATAATTTTGGGTTCCTTTCAGTATGAACATTTTATTTTAGTGTGAAGAACATTTTAATAATCTAAAGAACATTTTTTTCCACTATAAAGAACTTTTTGTGGAATGGAAAGTTTCCATCAATTTTAAAGGTTCCTCATGGAACCATTGATGCCAGTATCGAACCTTTATTTTTAAGAAAGTTGCAATTCAACAGAAGAACCATTTTAGGTTCCTCAAAGAACCTTTTACTGAACTGTTCTTAAAAGAACCGTTATTATCTTAGTGTAAAAACATTTCAATAATCTAAAGAACCTTTTTCCACTATAAAAAACTTTTGTGGAATGGAAAAGTTCCACGAATATTAAAGGTTGGTCATGGAACAGTCAATGCCGATAAAGAATCTTTATTTTTAGGAGTGTATGGAAAAGAATTGTATGCAGATTCTTCAGAATTCTTCTTAGTAACAGCATTACAGGTTTGGGAAAACATGAGGGTGAATAAGGCCCCAATATACTTTAAGCGAAATCAAAGAATAAACTGGTGTGATGTAACTTCGAACAAAATCAGGTCAAAACGCAGTTCATTTGTAGAGTTCAAAACAGCTTGCCAAAGCGAACTTTGCAGAAAAGTTTGCTTCGGCTGGTTAACACCTTCAAACTACCATTGTTTCCGCGGCGAATACATAACCAGTAAAAATATGAGTGAAAACATGAACACATTGGAGAGCTGCTTTCGTATTTAAGTTGTAATTCTAATTGAAAGCGGCAATGACACTGTTTTTTATGTTTAATACTGTAAAGCAAACATATCCACATCTCTATGATCACATGCTTTTGAAACTGCCGTTTAACCCACCACGGCCATTTTTGTTGTTAATTTTGTTATTGAGAGGAAAGCACATATTTACTAATATTCATCTAAATTAATATTCATCTAAATAGAAATTCATCCAAATGCCACTCTTAGCAGCATGGGTAGCATTGGGATGTCCGATAACAGTACACAGCTACTCGCGTATTTCGAATTTCTTTTTCCCCCAAACAAAGAATGAAACAGAACCTCACAGGGAGTATATCAGGGCATTTAGCAATCACAGATATTTCAGTTTTGGTTAAACTATCCCTTTAAAGCTGCTTTGAGACAGACAGATCTTTTCTTCTGTATTGTGAAATACATTTGAGTGAAACAGATTATCCAAAAAAAAATAAAAAATGTAGGGAGCCTTGGTTTTATTCATCAGATGTTGATTGGATGGAGGCAGATCTTAATGCGAGCTTGCAGTCAATTGTATAAAAGGGGCAGAATTTAAGCGGATGAAATGATTGGAGAAGTCCTGCACACGTCACCAGAGAAAAGTCTGTCGTTTCACCGGAAGTTATAACATTTCGATCAAACATCATGAGGTTAAAATTAAAAAAATGTATGCATGGATGAATCGTTCACAATAAGATCAATAACATACGTTTAGAAAATAGTAATGTCACTTTCATGTCATTTTAAGCACACAAATGTACCAAAAGCACTAACCTGTTGTCCCAGCAGCTTCCTCATAGCTTCCCTTAGCTCTCCTGTGCTTATTTCGCCATCTCCATTTGTGTCAAACTGTAAGGCATAATATATCATTTTTATTTTCATTTTATATTTTTATATTACAATCTTTTGAACTTTCCACTCACCTCTTTGAAAGCATTTCTCAGCTCTTTTATCCCAATCATGTCTGCTGTCTCTGCTAGTAGTTTAGGTCCCATCAACCCTACAAAGTCCTCGAAATCCACATGGCCACCTACTAAGAAAAACAAACTGATGTCAGTATTTTGTATTGAATTGACATGGCTGATATGATAATGGATGTGTGCACACATAAGCTTACAGTTCATGTTGATTTGTTGGCTCAGTTCTATTAGTTCCATCTCGGTGGGCATGTAGCCCATAGTTCTCATGCAGTTCCCCAGGTCTTTACAGCTGATAAAGCCATCTTTATCTTTATCAAACTCCTTAAACGCTTCTCGTAACTCTTCACTCGTCGAGACAAACCAAACACATGAACGGCATGTTAACACACAGTAAAAAAAACAGACTAAGTGAACCATGAGCTCTAATAAAACAATAAGAATGTTTTTATTATTGTAGTTCGGTTTATACAGGTTTGAAGAAGCTAAAGTAGCTAAATAAACAACAGATTGAAAAACTTACCATCAATCTCCTCTGGTCTCAACTCTCGATTCTGCAACAACAAAAGATGAGGAAGAAATGGTCAAAACAACACTAGCAAAGGTCAAATTTTAAAGACATAACACCCAAAAATCAAAACCTTAGTTCCTCACAATAAAATACAGGCCATCCAGGAAATGAAGTTCTTCTGGAGATGGATCCATTACCAAAAAACCTTTAACTAATGGTGCATCCAAACCAGTCATAGCGGCTATTGTTTTATGCCTCTAGTCGTTCAAAGTCACTCAACGTGTAGTTAGTGCTCGTTTTATAGTGTTAAGAAAGAGCAAATGCGCGTTACTAAAAGGTGAGGTGGTCCTGGTCACATGGCAATGGCATTTCTCCAGCGTCACAGCTAAGTGAACAAATCCCGACAAGTGAGACAGAGAAACAATCTGTCTTCACCTAACAGTGACAACCTTTAAAGGCGATGGAGGAAAGAGAGGGAGAAAGATGGAGAACAGAAGCTGTAGCATTCACGAGGGAAGAAATTAGTATAAACATGCAGGCTTTACTGACGTAAGACCATGACATTCACACACACACACACACACACACACACACACACACACACACACACACATGCAAAAACATGCAACCTAAATTGTAGACCAAAACAAAGGAGCAGCATTGTATGCGATATAAATACATATGCCTACGCGGCAGCATGCAGAATAAGAAAAGCTAAATTGCTTATATAAGTAGCATCAAACATTCCAGGGCAAAGCCACACATAAGCAAGCTTTTTTTGTGGACTGTATTTACAGTAAAACATCATTCACAATGTGCATGACATTGCAGCAGGTCTGTGTTAGTGTTTGTGTATTTGTTGAGTCTAAATTAGAGTTTGCATATTCATTAATTTGTTTGGCATATGCATAGCACGTAGATGCATATTTAGGGTTATGAGTGACCTGGGACCCCATTTCACCCCCTCTACTACATTCACTTTGTGGTTTTAGACCCCTTAGTATTCCTCAACCGTTTTTGCACAAAAAAATGCACACACACACACAAAAAAAAAACACTTGTGAAATAAAATAAAATGAAATGATATATAAGTATTTTATATATTTGACAACATGTGTGCAATTTAATTCCAAAAGAAAGGCTACATGGATTTTTAATTTTTAACTATAGATATTACATTTTTTAATTGTAAGAAAATTCACAATATTTTATTCGTTTAAATTATGTATTATTACGTTAGCTATTTTCTATTTTAATATAATTTAGATGTAATTTATTGCTGTGGTGGCAAAGCGGAATTTTCAGCATCATTCTTCAGTGTCACATGATCCTTCAGAAATCCTTCTAATATGCTTATTTGCTGCTCAAGCATTAAGTTATTATTATCAATGTTGAAAACAGTTGTGCTGCTGCTTTATAAATTTGTGGAAACTGTGATACATATTTTTTCAGGATTCTCTGATGAATAGAAAGTTCATAAAAAAAGCAATTTCTTAAAAAAAAAATATCTTGCCTATGACAAAACAAATTGGTATTACCCGAAATATATTATATTAATGATTGTGAAACACATATGCATTAAAGGGTTAAAATATTTACAGTATTTTAAGGTATATATTTTATGTCTTTTTATGTATGTTATGTATATACATACGTTTTATTATGAGAACCTACAACTGGTTTTCTGGTCATTTAATTTTAGATATAATATGTCTGTGCTATAATTCCATGTCCTAGAAAGCCATGTCTTTGTATAGCTCAAAAACATATTATAAGGCCATTGCCCTAAAAATGTCCCTCTTCCCTTTGTCTGTCTCTCTGTGAAAAAACTTTTACAGCTGCACTCTTCTACACATTTCCAACACTTTTTCCCCCCCAGGCTCTTAAACATGCTCTATAAAGATAACAGATACTTTGTGTTGAGTTGAGCAGACAGACACTCCTGAGGGTGAATAACAGAGAATAGCTCATGCTATGTTCGACCAGGAGCTCAGGAACAGAGTCACTGACAGAAACACCTCGTTAATGAGGTTCCTAAGAAACATTTAAGAGGAACATGTTCATATAAGCCCACAAATCACAACAATAAGGATATGTTAACATCTAATTCAGCACTATTCTCGCTTTTCTTTGCATTGGGTGTCACAATTAAGCCTTATACTCAAAACCATCCATTAAGAAGAGTAAGTCAAGTCTGTATATCCATTTCAAAATTGTTCTTATACATAACACAAACGCATGAACTCACAAAGCATTGCTTATTTATGTCTATACACACAGCCATATATGTTGTGATTGTGAATGTCACAGAGAAAGGGCTGTATGCCTATGTGTGAGAAAGACAGATAGAGAAAGAAAACATTCCCATTAATAAAAAATAAGCAATCCAGCCAACATTTTCCATTCATTCATCATAACAGTTTACTGAACACATTGTGAAGACTGGCTCTTCAGATCTATACACTCTCACAGCGACTATAAACAGAGAGGAAGGGAAAGCGAGAGTGAGATAGATACAGAGAGACAATAAAAAACACCAAAGACATAGAAAAGACATTATCTGGTTTAATAGCATTGGGAAACCAGATCATTCAGCTAATGCACTCAGTATGATTGTGTAAGCCACAATGGGACATATCTGAAAAAGACAGAAATGTGTTTTCTCAAAAAACAGCTCGTAGATTAGAGAGAGACAATATGTCAACATTCAGATCACTTAGATGATACATTGTAAAAAAATCCTTAACTTTATGAATTCTAGAACTCTAGTAAAGTATAAGTATGCAACATGAACACACACGTGTGTGTTCTTTTCTATATAGTAAGTATTTAAGTTATGGACTAAATTGGGATTTTTCTGTAATCTAGATATTTTTACCTGATTTAACCAATATAAATGAGCTTTGTTGGTATGAATTTAGGTTGATTCGGGTTGATATTGAATAATATTTTTGACTTGAATTAAACTAGTTAATTTACATGTTACCATTAATGTCTGCTGAGTGCACTACTTATTTCATTTAAAACTATTTATAAATGAAATAAAATAAATAAATGTATTTGAACATGTATTTAATACATACAATTATGCTGTGCCTGCTTGTCGCTATGTGATTGCTCGGGTGTTCTGGGTGTATTTTTACTTGTCCAAATCAACAGAGCACCTCCAAATCTCCATTATATTCTACTGTCTACTAGATATGTATTCAGTTCCTCTTGCAATTTCTTTGAAACTGACGTGAAACTTGAACCAAGACATATGCAAATGAAAATAACTGGGGCACCTTTCAAAATGTAAATTCACTCCCTTCCTTTGTTTTACGAGCAGAATGAGGTTACCAGGCTTCCACAATCATTATGGCGTGTTAGTCAGCATTCATGGAGGCTTTGAGATTATTCAAAGATCTCCCTGAAAGCCTGATTTCATACAAAGTCTGTATGCCCAGATAGTACAAAAATGTGATGGTCTTTACTGATAAGCTAAAACTAGGACACTCTAACCCTAACTGTAGCAACAGAAAAATGGGGCACAAGAAAATGGGGCTTAGATCTCAAACACGCTGGGAGAAAACATCATGAAGCAACAGAATTTTTCATCTTTTTGTTAGAAATATTTCTTCTGTAAGTGTAGACATCATTAAATAGGGTTATGAAGGGCTCTTTCAGTAAATTGGGAATCAGTTTCATTAGTCTTATGTGCAGAAGAAAAGCAGTGGTTTAAGATAAATGAATTATAATACAATATAATAATAAAAAGCTAAAGCTCTGCAAAAAGGATAGAGGAGGGTCTAAATGAGAAACTGACTGTGTGTGTGTGTGTGTGTGTGTGTGTGTGTGTGTGTTTAGAGGAGGGGAGGAGAGTGGGTCTCATTCAGACATATTACCATTCTCACAGCTGGAGGCCTTGTTTCTAATCCAAACAATTATTTATACACACAGCTAAAAATACCACACACACTCACACTCACACACGTAGCTTCAGATTGTTCACATGCCTTGTTTCAGTCCTGCATTGACATCCTTGTGTTTTTTGAAGTACCTTATAGATCAGTGAATCTCTGGTTCCCTTTCAAGGGAACTTCGAACTGCGTCCTCTAGGTTTCCCCATAGCGACCCCTAGAGGACGCAGTGTCTCGTTCCCTACTCAGGGAACCATGGTTACATACGTAACCTGAGACGTTCCCTTTCAAGGGAACTTCGAACTGCGTCCTCTAGAGGTCGCTATGGGGAAACCTAGAGGACGCAGTTCGAAATTCCCTACTCTGGGAACCATGGTTACATACGTAACCTGAGACGTTTTCTTACCACTTTAAAAAATCCTTAACATAACATTCTGGATGAGTGGTTTATTGCATTTATTTAGATAGGAGGACAAAGAGGAAATCACAGGAGGGGAGATTTGGTCCAGAAAAGGACCTGAAAATTGGAACTCAAACTCACAACTGCCGATAAGCAGAACCAGTTTTAGTTGCTTTATTTCTGATAACACAATAATAAACTGAATTATCGATAGAATATGACGATATAAATATCATATGCATTATGAATATAAAATTAAGCCATTACCCAAACAATTCATTAAATAGGATGCGTCCTTTGTGAATACTGGTGCATTAAAGTCCTCTTGGAAAGTTTGTATTTCAGTAATTATGACACATCAGGTGTGTTTTAATAAACTTTTCTGCATTAAATTCCATTTTAACTCTACATACAAAATAATGAATGAAGAATGTGCATCAGGTGGGATTTTGCTTTGTTGTTTTTATTCAATTTATGAAGGTGCTGTAAATTGAATGGTTATATATTTTATTGTAATTGTATAATAAATGAAAAAAAATTATTTAATCAATTTTAACAAATTTACCATTAATCCAGACACTTCATCCATTGTATCCAACATGTTTTCTCACTGACACCACCCACAACTGTTCATGTCCATGTGTGTTCAACTAATAAATTAAATCTTTCCAACATGACTTGAATGCACCAAATGGTGCTATTTATTGGTGAAGAGTAAATATTGGTTCAAATGTGCACAACTCA